ATATATATATATAAGCTTCCACAACTCAAACACACACGGCGAAAGTCGCTGCCTAGTTCAAACTACAGTGAGGCTTTTTTCCATGTCTGTCATATAGGTTTTGGCCTCGTCCAACACATCCTTCATGCCAGATTCTTGTCACCCAACTTCATTTCCTCAATAATGTCTACAATACCCGAATAGACGAGCTACTGGGACAACCTCTCCTGATACGATATAGCTGTCTTCGATAGTGAGGATAATCTAGCTAGGGACTGAAAGGTTCACTATTTTCATTGCTCACGAACAAACATCCTTCAACCCACATCCAAGTAACATGCATCGCTACAATGCCAAAAGCTCCACCTTTTTCCTGTAAGTGTACGGTGGACTCTGACTCCCCATAGTCCATACCATCAAAGCTCCTCTATATTCGTCCTACCTGATTGGCTTTTTTGGTCAGTGCTGAGTTCTAAACATCTATCAACTCATTTGTAACATTCCCGCCCGCTGCGCACTTCCATTCCCAGACGAGACCGCACGTTTGACAACTTTAACTTCAACTGAGTGTCCTGCCCCAAAAACATTCTCGGCCCTATGCTGAGCCTCACAATCCGTCTTCAGCAACAGAGGAAAGAGAAACCTTAAAATGGAAGCAACTTTCGTCGAACATCCTTGCTGGCTTGAGTTTTCCCTGGTTGTAGCATCTTGGACAATCATCCTGGAAATCCAAAACATCACCTAACAGGGGCTCATTGAATACACGCAGATAACGCCTTCCACGCAACTCGTTTTGCAGAGCCTTCCTGGCTTTCTTCAGACTTTAACTGCGTAATTTGGGGGACACGTCATCGAATAAACACGCAACACCACCAGGCATCTCAAATTTTTCTCCAATTTGTAGTCCCTACATGCTCTGAACTACATTAGTTGTGCAAATTTTATCTAATGAATACCCCTCGTAATCATGTATGCTCACACCTATTCGCATCAACCACATAACTCCTATCTACTACCGAGTATCAATGGCCGTTTTCGAAATCGAGCAGTGTTGCCTCACTGCAGCAGTTAGAAACTGTGACCACCCTTAGCTGCCTGCTATAACAGGTCGCAGTTTAATCCATATCATAGTGCCCTCTAGCAGACCTTCTGACACTTCTTTATTTTGAGTCTCCAAGGCATGCATGGCTCTTATGAATGGCAGTAATGAACCCCCCTCTCCTTCAACTGGTACAAGAATACCCTTGAACTAATCTGGTCTCAATTTGTCACGATTCCACAACCAATCCTAATTACTCTGACAACCGCAACTAACCCGCCCAAGATGTTCATGTACGGGCTGTCCACAGATCCAAGCGCGACGTCAAAATGAGGGAACCGCGGCTGCCACGCCTGGTTTGATGACTAGCCGGTAGTTCAACATATCCCTACTACCATCCCGTTGTACTGCCTGCTCATTCTTCCCGGAAACTCAATATTTTTAAAATGACACCTCCAAAAAATCAATACGAATGTGAAGCTAAACCTTACCCTGCACCCAATAGAGCGTGTGCTGGCCATCACAAAACGATACAATAAGTTTATTACCGGCTAAGAACAGAGGCCAAAACAACTGCAGAAAAATTTAAAGCCTGTCTCTTGCTTCCTTACTCCTTACTCGAGACACTATTCACCAACATTCAAAGAAAACGGCTCATCATCTATGGACGACTCGTATTCTCTGATGCAACCCAACCACTCAGCCCAAACCGTCAAAAAACGCTTTTGTCTACCCAGATCTGCTGGAAGCTATCACAATCACGATTGTAAACAATAAACTCTCAAGCAACTATTGACTGCTAACTCGCTGAACCAAACGTTTCCCTTTGACAATTTTTCCAATTTCTCTGCGGAACATTTATCGAGCGTCCCGATGTGATAATTGAGGATCGGAGTCTCACGAAATCAAAGGTGTAACTCGACGTGGTGTTTGGTGTGGCCTAAATATCTCGCTCGCCCACTTGATCTCATACCACTCGAGACATTGCGCAACCTTTGTCCCGAACAGAAAGGAATATTCGAGCTGGTTTGCTGTTTTATGGTTTCAAATATAGGGGAAGGGAAAGACTGAAAACGATGCCGAAGATTAAGATTTAGTGATGCGGAGTCCCTGTGGGGTCAACTTACCACGTTTTCAACATTTACCTGCGCCTCAGTCGAAAAAATCTAGTGTGAATATTTGCTATGAACAAGCAAATTGAGTTCAAGTGACAAAAGTAAGGACATTTTGAAACCCAACTACTCCTGATGGAAACCGGTGAGGAAGGAAGAGTAACGTATCCATCCGGTGGTCTATCTTGGAAGAGGATGGACGCCCTCAAACATGAATATACTAACAATCCAATTGAAGACGTTACGGCCAACACTCGCCCATCCTTGGGAAAATCCGGATACACAACCAGGCGATTGACAAGCCAACATCTCCAGCCACCAAAAACCGAAAGGAGTTCAGTTTGAATTCCGGAGGTCGGCATCAGGAATACAAGCTCTTAACTTGTTCAGCATATCCAGAATGCATGCAGACGAGTAGGACACTAGGGCCTCATTAATCGGAATAAAACATTGGCAAGGTTTGGATGCAATTTTAGGGTGAGCGAATTGAAACACAGTAAGCGTCTGCTCCCCACTGTGGCGAGGAAGGAAACATTCAAAAAGCACGGTACAAAAAACAGTTTAACATGCCATTATCATAATAATCCAAATAAGGATTTCGGAGCGTATTAAAGGTTGGGTTTGCGTATGACTTAATGGGTTTCGGTGCCAGGGTGCTTAAAATATGAACAACTAATTTATCACAGGAAAAGCGCAGACAAGCAATATACAGTGGAACATGTCAATTTACTTGTGAGGCTCAAGGCGGTGGCCTGTTGGGAATTCGCAATTCTAGGATGTCTAAGATTTCCTAGTGCGGGCTGGCAAACACAATACAGCGAGCATTTGAATCTGGTTAAAAAAAGGAGAGGCTGGCTGACTTTATGCGAAATGTGTATACTGACTTGCTGTCGGCGAGATGGCTCAAGTGGTTAGAGCACCAATTTACTAACCGGAGGGGCCGTGGTTTAAGCCGATCTCTGCCTCTCAACTTCCCATGTCTAGGCTTGGACAACCTGGCAGTATTCAAGCCCTCGTGCCTCCTTCGGTTGGCAAGGCAGCTAGGCACCGGAGGGGTGTTACAACTGAGTGCTTTGTTGTCGGCCCAGGTAAGAGATCCTAAATCTCCCTCGGATGTACGACGCTGGCACGACTGGAGAGCACAAATGGCAGTGTAGAAAATCAGATAAGATGCTTGTTGAGGTTCCCGTGTACAAAAGGAAATGTCATACCTCAAAAGCCTTCAAACGATTCAGGTCTACCACATCTCGGCATTTTAGGGAACAATCTGCATTGATGACCACACGCTGATCCTCAACTGAATCATTCAGTAGTTGCCCTGACTCCGAAGAAATCCTCGCCTTGTGTCCAACTGGAATGGTACTGAGTAAGCTGAGGAACCTTCTCATCAAACACAGACAAACAGTGTATATGTAATCGGGTAGGAAACCGTAAATTATGGGGAAAATCACCTCTATTGGACTTGGACACGTATGGTGCTACTCTGGCTTTCGGGTAAAGAAATCGCAGTCATGACGTAAGTGCGCTGCTAACGAGAAAATAATTCACTCGTGTGCCAATGTGCACACATTTCTGCGCACAACAAACAGCCATAATACCATGTATGCTTACTTCAGAAATGCCCCAGTATCACTGTCGCACACAATAGATCAAAGACGGACGGTGGTATTGCGATAAACTCCGGATACAGCGCTAACTAAGACGTACGTCACCTAAGTGACTGTGTCTGACAAACTTTCAAACATCACTCGGCTGGTTCTTGCCACAGTATATACCAATAAAAATGACCCCGGAAAGGGGGATTAAGAGGGAATGGGCGACAGCTGGGTAAGCGATTTGATGGAGGCACAAAAAACAGCTAAAGTTAGACCCAAGTCATTGTGAACTGATTAATCTCTGAGGCAACGAAAACAGCCGGTTGCTGAAACCGCCTGACGTACTTTTGTATATACGGTTGTTCTGTCTCTGCGCGCAATGTGAACGAATTTTGGGGGCACTGACAATCAGTCGAAACGAAAAAATCTCGTTCACAATTTTTTTACAAGCAAACACACCAGGCATAAAGTATATCACAGGACGACAAAACTCACTTCCAGTCCTGCGGGAGATAAGCCGAAAGCAGAGCTCCCTGTCAAAAATGGGAAATAAAATACGCGGCGAAGATTGGTTGGTGAAATGCAAAATGTGGAGACGAATGATTAGTTATCTGCGTCCCCCGTGTGGCATCTCCACATTTTCCATTTCGCTAACCAGTTCATTTTTCGCTCCTATTTTAACCATTAGATATGTATTGACCAGATGATCCCGAAAACATTAATGTTCATCACTGTGTTCTTTCTCAAACCATGGGGATATTTAAGCAATGACCTCTGATTTGTCGGAAAAGACGGACCCAAAAGGCAACATCCGAGTGTCCACTCTACGCTGGTTGCCAGTGCCGCGTCCGAGTTTCAAGAACATTGTCATGCACATACAACACGAAGCACTATACGGGGTCTTTCGATTCGTTTCGGACAAATGATGTTTTGCGTGCCACTGGTTGTTCTACTGCTGATAACGCTGGCTCTGGAGATCACACCGAAAGCAGAGCATAGGAATAGTTGTTATTTGAAAGGGTCAGATAGGTTGTGGGGTGTTCGTGTCTTCAGCATGTTATGTGAAGAAAGGGGAGCACGAATTGTTTTGTTAATCTGCGAGACGATGATTCACGCATACGCGCTGTTAAGCTAGCAACGATTATATAGCCTCCAGAACATGAGCATGGGGTTACTGAAAACAACTTCGCTAACCGAAAGCTGGATGAGAACCTGTCAGCACCGCCATCAGTTAGAATCCAATCTCAGTGTGTACGTTGATCCAGTTGAGTAAGAAAGATTCAGCGCTGGTGTGGTTAATCTCAACTGAAATAAGACAAGGATTTCGTTTGGACTGAGTGATCAACCATACAGCTATCACAATCCTCGTCTGATGAAGAAATTAACTCAATCACTTCAGCGCACATGTATATGTTTACACAGCCAAGTACAATTCCTCAGTCACCGCTAAGTCGAGGCCATACCATATGAAAGCAAACGGGGACTTGTTCTGGTTCACTAATTCCAGCTACTGTTTGAACACCGGAGTTGGTGGTTTCTAAAAGATACGTCGGAACATGTTCAGGAGAGCAACCGCACACTAGCAAACAATCAAGCTCATACATCGGAAACCCACGCAAAATAATGGAATTCTGTCGGATACATCACTTCCAAAATGCATGAGCACAGTTTAGCTCCGAAACTACTATTTATTCCAGTCTGGTCAGTTTAGAATACATCATGAGCACAGCTAAATGTCCAGCAAGGTAGACTGCGTCTGACATCGCGTGAAGGACTCAAAGTGCTTTGTTGGTACAACTACCACCGAATTCCTCCAACTACTGAATAAAACCCGGTCACCTGAACATAAGAGGGTTTCTCGAGCACATCAAAAACCTTGAGAAAGATCAAACGTGCTTCACTTTGGGGAGGTACCCTTTCTGTATACATGCCAGTTGAAGCAACCCTCAGGGACTTTGACAAGAAAGTTCTGTCTAGCTAGCCCATACGTCGTATAAGCGCTCTGACTGGATTAGCCTTAACACAAACCAGTAAGTAAATTGGAAACAAATTTCACTTCAAAATCCCACGCTCTCCATGTGGGTAAAAGTAGCAGAATTGTTTTCAAATACCACGGGAGACTCGCCTTCATCATTTCATCATCATTGTCAGTTGTAAGAACCGGGCACTCGTCGTACGGTGGTTGTAGCTGCCGCAGTTTCGTTCACCGATGATTTGGGAGGGGGGGTTAGGTAGCTGCGCATTGCACGAGCGAGCTGGTAAAATGGTGCATAAATCCAGCACTGTCAGTGGGCTGTCAAGTGGGGGTTTGGGGTTTGGAAAAGGAGCTATGCATTGAAGGCAATAGCTTTGATGCATGAGCGCCATTGAGGGCGCGACTGGGCCATGTCTGATAATGTCTCTAGCCATTGATGTGGACCGTCTCGGGGTCCCCATCCAGGAAGACAGCAGTGACCAGCGTAGCTGAGTTTGCTGGTAATGGCTTTCATACTTCGCTGCCAAGTCATTGTTTGACCGCCTCTGGCTCTCTTCCAACCTTCACATGGTTGGGCGAAAAGAGCCCTTCGAGGAAGTCGGTCGACGGGCATACGCAGCACGTGGCCAAGCCAGCGCAACCTGTGCAGTGTGATCAGTTCATCTATCGAGGGTGAATTATTTCTCCCAAATACCATTCGACGTACTTCAGAATTGCTGATCCGATGTTCCCACCAGATTCGGACAATGCTCCGAAGACATCGATGGTCAAACACTGAAAGTCTTTTGA